TANATANATTATTATAAATATANAGGTNTATATATATATAGGTATATATATATATATATATATTATTATTATATATTATTATATTATATATTATATATTATATATTATATTATATATATATATATATATATATATATATATATATATATATATATATATATATATATATAGCGTATTTGTGTGTTGTGTAGCTTTATTGGATACTATAAAACGGCCTTTTTCATCCATGTTTATGTGACATAAATGTTTATCTGCTTGATGCATGGATTTCCTTGATTTGTATGTGGTGAGGGCATATACGAGTATATTTATTTATACTTTCTAACTATTTATGTGTGTATACATCTGAGTGGTTCACTGTAAGCGTTCATACCTACCTGTATATCTATGTATGCATCGGTGTACATGTATCAATATATGCAAATATACGTATGTATTCATGTGATATCCTGCATTCATGTGGGCGTATGTTCATAATCCTAACTACCAATCCCTTGCAATGTTTATTCTCCTCTGCAGCCCATCCGTTATTTCCAAGGGGAGGTGAACACACAGGTATGTTAGTATATCACTCTGAACGAGTTCGTGTGTGGCTTGAGTGTTATCATCGCATGGTGGCATACTCTATTGTTCTTTTGACATGCTCTCGTTTTCTTTGGTCCATGCTTGGTGCTGTGACCCCCGTAATTCTCATTCAAACCGGGACCTTGCCACGGCATTTACAATTGTCGTTGTGAACAGTATTGCGATTCAACTTTGTTTCAGAGTCTTTGCTTACGTACGTGGAGTGTTTTTGTATCACTCCCAACTCTCCACACTTTATACGAATTGTCCTGTAGGTAAGATGTTCTGTACGTATGTTGTCCAGGTAATTTGTATTGTAGGTACATTGTCCTGTACATAAATTGTTCAGTACGTATGTTGCTCGGTAGGTAAGTTGTGTTGTAGGGTGTAGGGTTACAGGTGTGGGTATAGTCCCTATTTGCGCTGTCCCTGAGAAACCGTCCTCATTGGTACATTAACTTTGTACAAAACAGGCGACCACGTGGATATCTTGGGCAATATCGATCTGAATGAAGATGTAGTGCGGATTGCCTGTGGGGAGGCCCTGAAGGACAACTATCATTCCTATATCCGGGAGATAGGTAAAGCAGCGCACAAACGGCTACAAGCAGCTGCTAGTAGACAATTAAAGAGAAGGAGCAGGCGGCAGGACAAGACGCAACAACAGCCGCAAGCAGCTTCTGTGGGCGCCAGAGTGGCTGAGAAAGTGGCCGAGTATATCCCTGGTTTGTGATCCACCGAGTCGGCTCAAGGGCCAGGCGAAGCAGCACACAAACGGCTACGAGCAGCTGCTAGTAGACAATTAAAGAGGAGGAGAAGGCGGCAGGACAAGACACAACAACAGCCGCAAGCAGTTTCTGTGGGTGCCAGAGTGGCTGAGAGAGTTGCTGCCCGTGACTCCTTCCCTCCCCCGCTGGTTTGTACTAGGCTTATGTGCACGCGTTGCCATAGAGACGGGTATAGCCCCGGGGTTTGTGGTCCACGCGATTTGGCTCGAGGGTGGGGATGGGTAATGCAACTGCTGAGTGAGTGTCGGCTGTTACACCCGGATGACCTAACGAACCAGTTCAAAAGGCAACGGACAGGGTTTTAGGGTTGAGGGTTTAGGATTTCGCAGTGTTTGAAAATGTATTGGGCACTCAGCAACTCGCATTAAGACGAGAGGTAGAGGACTCTATTGGATATGAGGTAGATAGGTCACCTATGATTGGTTAAGAGAGTTATATGACACAGAGCACCAGCCACGGGGTAGTGTGTTTATGAACTGCCAAGTAGGGAAGAAGTGATTTGTTGGCTGCTAAGATGGGTCCTTATATAGTGCACGCACCCATATATAGCGCAAGCGAGTATTTAACCTTAGCTTGAATTATATCCTGCGAGGACTACAGCAGTCAACCATGGGGCGAGCATCCTAATGTGCAACGGGCGTTGAGAATGCATCCATATCCACACCCATATGTACATCAATATGCACCTATATGTACATCAATATGTACTCATATATACATTATATGTACCTATATGTACATTATATGTACATCAGTATGTACTCATATCTACATTAATATGTACTCATATCTACATTAACATGTACTTATATATGACAATTATATGTATATCAATATGTACTTTTATGTACATCAATATATACTTATATCTACATTAAAATGTACCTATATCTACTTTAATATGTACTTGTATCTTCATTAATATGTACTTGTATATACATTAATATGTATTTATCTGTACATTAATATGTACTTAGATGTACATCAACATGTACTTGTCGGATCGTGCAGTGGGAGGTAGCGCTAGTGCGCGACTGGCTCTAGCGACTGTGAAGAATACGCATGGGATTCGCACACGTGGTAGTACAGTGACACGGCGGTGTACGGTTAGCACGTGCACCTGTAGTCATTGTGTACGAATTATGAACCTGCCCCATGCCGACTACAAAGACAGCTGAAGGCTGGTTGTCATAGCAACGTTGGTTGCCACAGCAACGCCAAGAACACAAGCCGAGTAAGGTTGTATATGCTAGCCCCAAGAAACGGGGTAGAAGCCTAAGGAAGCGCACGTGTCACGACCTCGGTAGGGTGGTTGCCATAACAACTCCAAATAAAGCGCACATATTTCAACTAGTATTGCCAGATTCTGTACCGAGTTGCATTTTATTTCCGATTGTTTATTTTGTTTTTAAAAAAAATTAAAGCTGTCGATGAAACAGGTCCTGGGTCTAATTATTTAGGGCCACCAGCGGAAAACAGGACTAAGCTGCACCCAGTCTTGCGTACTGTCCTCCGTCGGGTGCATTCCACCTTCACTCATAGCCCTCTAAATTATACACTTCACAGCGCCTTTAATTTCAAATACCGAACTGTATTGACATTTATTTCAAAATATTGGTCTTGACAAAGTAGTCCATGAAACAAAGTCCTGGTCCAATTGTTTGGGACCGCCAGGGGTAGGTACTATTCTCCCTTGACAAAGTAGTCCATGAAACAAAGTCCTGGTCCAATTGTTTGGGACCGCCAGGGGTAGGTACTATTCTCCGTCGGGTGCATTCCATCTGCAATGCGCGATTATTCTCAAATACCGAACTGTATTGACATTTATTTGTCATGATAAAGCGGTCCATGAAACAAGTCCTGGTCCAATTATTTGGGACCCCTCAGGGGTGGGTACTATCGTCAGTTGGGTGCATTCCACCTACGCGGTGCGATGATTTACATACACTTGCTCTTCTGAGCAGTTCATAGTCATAGTCCACCCACACAGTCCCTACTATCGTCCGCTCTTCATACCTACAAGCCACCCTCCGCGTCTATTTCATGCACCCCATTACCTGAGGGCAGGTGCATGTTGTCCAGGACTTTATTTTGGGCCACCTTGTGCTGTACCGCTGAAGGGGCCTCGATATTTTGGGGTGTGGGCTTGTGACTCGGTGCGTAAGTCTGCACCACAGTGCTGTGGTTGTAGTCGTTGTTCTGGCCCTGTTGCTTCTCTAGCGCGATCTGAATAGGATATTGGATAGGAAATTGGGTTGAGATGAATTTTAGGTTTTCGTGATTAGATTTAAATCTGTAGGAATTGGGAATTGGGGATTATATCTGATGGCGCTGGTGTGTAGATTTAACATGCCGACGGAGGTTTCGAACTCTTAGGGTCTAATAAATTACAGACTTCCATTAGATCTGTTGGGAGGAATCGGGAAATGGGAATTAGAACTGCTAGTGCTGTTGTGTGAATTTAGCATGTCATTGGAGGCTATATATATATATATATATATATATAGTAGGTCGTTCGCCG